CGTTTCGTTCTTGCTGAGCAGCAGGTAACGTCCAGTGGACGGTGCCTACGTGTCAGCGGTGGGATTTGAACCCACGAGTGCGAACACAGTAGAACTTGAGTCTACCCCCTTAGACCACTCGGGCACACTGACGACGACATAGAAAGGACAAACACAAACAAACACACACACAACAACACAACAACCACGACACATCACACGACACACAGTGCGAACAGGCTCTATGCATCACCGGGTGGGGTGGCGCCAACTTGTAACGGAACGCTTCTGCCAGGTAGTAAGGTACGAGGGTTGTGACACGTGTGGTGGCGACACTATCCACAGGGTGTGGATGGCGCGCCCGTTTCAAACCAGGAGTCGACATTGTGGTGAGCTCCCGTGAGAGTTCACACCAAGGTCACTAAGGAACGGTGCACCGTCCCAGACTGGATAACAGAGCAGGGAAAACCTTCGCTTCTGATAGTGGGAGGATCACGTGCCAGAATCCTGATGTGGCGTTTCCACTCTACAGGTCAACACGAATACCTTGCGAAAATCTTTTACTGATTGGGTGGATACCATGATTCTCGCTTAGGGTGCGAGAGGTCCCGGAATCGATCTCCGGCAAGGCCCATTTTGGGCTGGTTGCGGTGTGTCACTTGTGAAGCGTCCCCGTGGCCCAATGGATAAGGCATCCGCCTACGAAGCGGGAGATTGCGGGTTCGAGTCCCGTCGGAGACTACCTTTTACAGAAGCATCAGTGGCACTTGCCAGAGGATTGACGATACGACTTCTGCATACGCGCACAAGACGCCGAAGTCATCCAAAAGATTTCAGCACTTGTCGTGCTTACTGCCTCGCTTAGTGCTGGCCGGTGTCTCACATGCTGCCGTTTCGTTCTTGCTGAGCAGCAGGTAACGTCCAGTGGACGGTGCCTACGTGTCAGCGGTGGGATTTGAACCCACGAGTGCGAACACAGTAGAACTTGAGTCTACCCCCTTAGACCACTCGGGCACACTGACGACGACATAGAAAGGACAAACACAAACAATACACACACAACAACACAACAACCACGACACATCACACGACACACAGTGCGAACAGGCTCTATGCATCACCGGGTGGGGTGGCGCCAACTTGTAACGGAACGCTTCTGCCAGGTAGTAAGGTACGAGGGTTGTGACACGTGTGGTGGCGACACTATCCACAGGGTGTGGATGGCGCGCCCGTTTCAAACCAGGAGTCGACATTGTGGTGAGCTCCCGTGAGAGTTCACACCAAGGTCACTAAGGAACGGTGCACCGTCCCAGACTGGATAACAGAGCAGGGAAAACCTTCGCTTCTGATAGTGGGAGGATCACGTGCCAGAATCCTGATGTGGCGTTTCCACTCTACAGGTCAACACGAATACCTTGCGAAAATCTTTTACTGATTGGGTGGATACCATGATTCTCGCTTAGGGTGCGAGAGGTCCCGGAATCGATCTCCGGCAAGGCCCATTTTGGGCTGGTTGCGGTGTGTCACTTGTGAAGCGTCCCCGTGGCCCAATGGATAAGGCATCCGCCTACGAAGCGGGAGATTGCGGGTTCGAGTCCCGTCGGAGACTACCTTTTACAGAAGCATCAGTGGCACTTGCCAGAGGATTGACGATACGACTTCTGCATACGCGCACAAGACGCCGAAGTCATCCAAAAGATTTCAGCACTTGTCGTGCTTACTGCCTCGCTTAGTGCTGGCCGGTGTCTCACATGCTGCCGTTTCGTTCTTGCTGAGCAGCAGGTAACGTCCAGTGGACGGTGCCTACGTGTCAGCGGTGGGATTTGAACCCACGAGTGCGAACACAGTAGAACTTGAGTCTACCCCCTTAGACCACTCGGGCACACTGACGACGACATAGAAAGGACAAACACAAACAATACACACACAACAACACAACAACCACGACACATCACACGACACACAGTGCGAACAGGCTCTATGCATCACCGGGTGGGGTGGCGCCAACTTGTAACGGAACGCTTCTGCCAGGTAGTAAGGTACGAGGGTTGTGACACGTGTGGTGGCGACACTATCCACAGGGTGTGGATGGCGCGCCCGTTTCAAACCAGGAGTCGACATTGTGGTGAGCTCCCGTGAGAGTTCACACCAAGGTCACTAAGGAACGGTGCACCGTCCCAGACTGGATAACAGAGCAGGGAAAACCTTCGCTTCTGATAGTGGGAGGATCACGTGCCAGAATCCTGATGTGGCGTTTCCACTCTACAGGTCAACACGAATACCTTGCGAAAATCTTTTACTGATTGGGTGGATACCATGATTCTCGCTTAGGGTGCGAGAGGTCCCGGAATCGATCTCCGGCAAGGCCCATTTTGGGCTGGTTGCGGTGTGTCACTTGTGAAGCGTCCCCGTGGCCCAATGGATAAGGCATCCGCCTACGAAGCGGGAGATTGCGGGTTCGAGTCCCGTCGGAGACTACCTTTACAGAAGCATCAGTGGCACTTGCCAGAGGATTGACGATACGACTTCTGCATACGCGCACAAGACGCCGAAGTCATCCAAAAGATTTCAGCACTTGTCGTGCTTACTGCCTCGCTTAGTGCTGGCCGGTGTCTCACATGCTGCCGTTTCGTTCTTGCTGAGCAGCAGGTAACGTCCAGTGGACGGTGCCTACGTGTCAGCGGTGGGATTTGAACCCACGAGTGCGAACACAGTAGAACTTGAGTCTACCCCCTTAGACCACTCGGGCACACTGACGACGACATAGAAAGGACAAACACAAACAAATACACACACAACAACACAACAACCACGACACATCACACGACACACAGTGCGAACAGGCTCTATGCATCACCGGGTAGAGTGGCGCCAACTTGTAACGGAACGCTTCTGCCAGGTAGTAAGGTACGAGGGTTGTGACACGTGTGGTGGCGACACTATCCACAGGGTGTGGATGGCGCGCCCGTTTCAAACCAGGAGTCGACATTGTGGTGAGCTCCCGTGAGAGTTCACACCAAGGTCACTAAGGAACGGTGCACCGTCCCAGACTGGATAACAGAGCAGGGAAAAGCCTTCGCTTCTGATAGTGGGAGGATCACGTGCCAGAATCCTGATGTGGCGTTTCCACTCTACAGGTCAACACGAATACCTTGCGAAAATCTTTTACTGATTGGGTGGATACCATGATTCTCGCTTAGGGTGCGAGAGGTCCCGGAATCGATCTCCGGCAAGGCCCATTTTGGGCTGGTTGCGGTGTGTCACTTGTGAAGCGTCCCCGTGGCCCAATGGATAAGGCATCCGCCTACGAAGCGGGAGATTGCGGGTACGAGTCCCGTCGGAGACTACCTTTACAGAAGCATCAGTGGCACTTGCCAGAGGATTGACGATACGACTTCTGCATACGCGCACAAGACGCCGAAGTCATCCAAAAGATTTCAGCACTTGTCGTGCTTACTGCCTCGCTTAGTGCTGGCCGGTGTCTCACATGCTGCCGTTTCGTTCTTGCTGAGCAGCAGGTAACGTCCAGTGGACGGTGCCTACGTGTCAGCGGTGGGATTTGAACCCACGAGTGCGAACACAGTAGAACTTGAGTCTACCCCCTTAGACCACTCGGGCACACTGACGACGACATAGAAAGGACAAACACAAACAAATACACACAACACACAACAACCACGACACATCACACGACACACAGTGCGAACAGGCTCTATGCATCACCGGGTAGAGTGGCGCCAACTTGTAACGGAACGCTTCTGCCAGGTAGTAAGGTACGAGGGTTGTGACACGTGTGGTGGCGACACTATCCACAGGGTGTGGATGGCGCGCCCGTTTCAAACCAGGAGTCGACATTGTGGTGAGCTCCCGTGAGAGTTCACACCAAGGTCACTAAGGAACGGTGCACCGTCCCAGACTGGATAACAGAGCAGGGAAAACCTTCGCTTCTGATAGTGGGAGGATCACGTGCCAGAATCCTGATGTGGCGTTTCCACTCTACAGGTCAACACGAATACCTTGCGAAAATCTTTTACTGATTGGGTGGATACCATGATTCTCGCTTAGGGTGCGAGAGGTCCCGGAATCGATCTCCGGCAAGGCCCATTTTGGGCTGGTTGCGGTGTGTCACTTGTGAAGCGTCCCCGTGGCCCAATGGATAAGGCATCCGCCTACGAAGCGGGAGATTGCGGGTTCGAGTCCCGTCGGAGACTACCTTTACAGAAGCATCAGTGGCACTTGCCAGAGGATTGACGATACGACTTCTGCATACGCGCACAAGACGCCGAAGTCATCCAAAAGATTTCAGCACTTGTCGTGCTTACTGCCTCGCTTAGTGCTGGCCGGTGTCTCACATGCTGCCGTTTCGTTCTTGCTGAGCAGCAGGTAACGTCCAGTGGACGGTGCCTACGTGTCAGCGGTGGGATTTGAACCCACGAGTGCGAACACAGTAGAACTTGAGTCTACCCCCTTAGACCACTCGGGCACACTGACGACGACATAGAAAGGACAAACACAAACAAATACACACACAACAACACAACAACCACGACACATCACACGACACACAGTGCGAACAGGCTCTATGCATCACCGGGTGGGGTGGCGCCAACTTGTAACGGAACGCTTCTGCCAGGTAGTAAGGTACGAGGGTTGTGACACGTGTGGTGGCGACACTATCCACAGGGTGTGGATGGCGCGCCCGTTTCAAACCAGGAGTCGACATTGTGGTGAGCTCCCGTGAGAGTTCACACCAAGGTCACTAAGGAACGGTGCACCGTCCCAGACTGGATAACAGAGCAGGGAAAAACCTTCGCTTCTGATAGTGGGAGGATCACGTGCCAGAATCCTGATGTGGCGTTTCCACTCTACAGGTCAACACGAATACCTTGCGAAAATCTTTTACTGATTGGGTGGATACCATGATTCTCGCTTAGGGTGCGAGAGGTCCCGGAATCGATCTCCGGCAAGGCCCATTTTGGGCTGGTTGCGGTGTGTCACTTGTGAAGCGTCCCCGTGGCCCAATGGATAAGGCATCCGCCTACGAAGCGGGAGATTGCGGGTTCGAGTCCCGTCGGAGACTACTTTTTACAGAAGCATCAGTGGCACTTGCGGGGATTGACGATACGACTTCTGCATACGCGCACAAGACGCCGAAGTTCCAAAAGATTTCAGCACTTGTCGTGCTTACTGCCTCGCTTAGTTGACGATACGACTTCTGCATACG